CCTGGAAACCAGGGATTTCAAGCAGCCTGAGGCTCGTGGTGTAATGCCACACTCTGAAAACATATTCTGGGAGCAAGGGACAGAGGCTGGAGGGGAAAGCAGAGATTTACAGCCTGAATCCTCAGCAGGACCTCCTTTAGCCCTTGCAGCTTCCAAAAGCTGCAGCCTGCACCCCCTCAGGCTGTGCTGCTGTGGATCTCTGACATTCCTCATGCCACAAATCCCATGATTTTCCCAAGGAGTGTGTCAAAGTCTGCCCCTTGAAGCCAAATGTCCACACGCCACATCTCAGCCTCCCCTTTGCATGTTGCAGAAACCAAATGAAAAACCTCATGCACAGCTCAAACCCAGCAGTAAATGAGAAGCTCCTCGATGTAGTCCTGGAAAAACACTATTTTTAAAGCTAATTTTTTTTCAATTTTGAAGAGTCCAGCCTGAATCATGGCAGTGGCAGCTCCTGGTAATTTTTTTCCCCCTGCTTGTTTTACTCCTCAAAGAGAATGGAATTATTCTTTAGCCACCAACAGCTTCCTGTGCTCCCTGACCCACCCTGAGGGCCAAAGGGGACAATCTACCACCTTCCCTCTGCGCCTGATTGCTCAGAGCAGCTCCCTGAGATGGGCAAAATGTGCTGAAACCAGCTCAGAAATGCAACCAAAACCAATCCTCACCTGCAGCTCCACCTGCCAGACAGAAGCCGGGAGCACCAGGCAGGGAGTGTTGATTGTACCCAGCACTTTTTAATGGGAGTTTTGATCTCCTGACAAGGTGTGCTGCTAAAATACTCCTTGCTGGAGCAGGTATGGCCCTAAAACGTGCTGGGAATGCAGATGAAGCAATGTCCTCATCCTCGGAGCGAGTGGGGGGATGCAAGACTCAAAAATGTGGCCAAATCTGAGCCTTCAGACGTGCAGCTCCTGCCACCATGGGATGACAGAGGGGCAGAACTTCACTGAGGGTTGGTGTTTTTCTGCCTGCAGAAGTTCTGCCTCAAACCCCCTCAAAGCTGCTCCCTTCCCATTGACTGGGCAAACTGGAACCTTGGAGTCACAGAGTCATTAAGATCAGGGAAGGTCTCTGAGGTGGTGGATCCCAACCTTAGAGTGAGCACCAAGCTGTCACCTAGAGGAGAGCACCGAGTGTCATTTCTTGGACACTTCCAGGGATCAACGGGACCCCATGAGTCCCATTAAAAACCCCATTAAAAGAAGTCCCAGTGCCTTGCTGGGAGAGGCCCAGGGAGCAGAGGGATGCTGAACCCCGGGACAGCAGCCAGGCTGGAGCAGAGGTGTCAGCTCTGGCAGCCACATCCCGGAGCAGCTGTGGAGAGAGAGAGAAGCCAGGGCAGCTTAGGAGAGAGCCGTGTGTGAGTTCCTGTCTGTGTGTGAGTGTGTGTGTGCTGAAACCAGAGCCAAATATTCCCCCGCCGCTCAGCCGGGGAGGCTGCGTGAGATCTTTTCGTGTTTTAATTAAGCAGCTGGGACATCGGTGACTCAGGAGAGGGACAAGACAACTGCGGCAGCCGCGGCATGCAAACAGCTCGTACCAGAGCGTGCCGGCACCTCGCGGCTCCCGAGCTGTCTGCTCCCTCAGGAAGAGCCCTGCCAGCCCTGGGGACTCCTTGGGGACACGGTGACAGCGGACACCTCCCGGCCTGGCCTCTGCAGGTGCTCACCCCGCGGTGGCAGCGCCCGGCTGGGTCGCACCGGGGCGAGCGCAGCAGCAGCAGCATCAGCCGGGCGGTGGATTTATCTCCGTGCTGACATTTCCGTCCACGCTCGGCTCAGAGCGTGTCCCCTGCCTTGGCACAGCTGCAAATCGCCCTCGCAAAGCTGCTCGGAGTCGCTTCCCCTGAGAGCCAGGCGGGCACAGAGCTCCCGCTTGCCCTCGGGCTGCTCGCAGATCGGTCCCTGCGGAGAGAAGCCGGACCTGGCATCCTCAGGGTTGGGGCCAAGGGGATCGGGCTCCTGGGAAACCAGCAAAAAACGCCGTGTGGTTTTGTAAAAAATAACAGAGGGATGGGGATCGATGCCCAGCGGGGCTTTCAGCACCTTATTACGAGCCTCAGTGAGCATTCGCCACCTGGCCAAGTGAATCCACCCAATCCTGCTTCAAAAAAAACCAAGGAAAGTTCCCACTTGGCTTGACTTTCCCCTGTGTTAATAGTATTTATTGCTGCTTGAAAGAAGTTCAGCTGCCTTGACTGCACACAGCCCCGGGGAATGGCTGGGGGAAAAGCCAGACTGCTTCCAGAAAAGCAGGCGTAAGGATTCGGGGATAAGAAGGATAAAAAGAAAGCTGTGCATCCAGTGGAAAAAAAAAATAATAAAGAGTTTAATAGCAGCTTAAAACAGGCGGTTTTGGCAGCCCCAGCACAGAGAGAAATTAAGCTCTGCACACAGAAGGTTATAAAGTGCTTATAGTAACAGACACGGACACGCACGGGCTTAGCAAAGGAGGCAGGGAGACGGAGTCTCTGCAGAGCTGGGGCAAGGGGAGCAGCACTGAGCTGTCCCCGGGCTCAGGATTCCACGGGCTGGGACGTGGGGCTGCCCAGGGCCAGCCCCCAGTGGCTGCTGCAGCTCAGGGCTGCTGCCACTGGCGTGGGGTGACACTCAACCCAAGGGTGGCTGTGCTGCCGGGCCACGGTTCTGAGGTGAGGGAGGGTGGAAATGCACCCAGCCAGGCTGGCTACAGCTCTGCAGTGTGGCCAGGGCTACTCCAGTGCCCTGTGTGGCCACCAGCACCAGCTCAGAGGGTCTCGTGTGTCTCTTGTGGGTGTCTGATGATGCCAGGCTGCAAAAGTGCATGGGAGCATCTTTGCATGCAGGATTGCCAGGAGAAATGCATCCAGTTCTGGGCCCCAGCTCAGGAGGCACCCAGAGCTGCTGGAGAGAGTCCAGAGGAGGAACCAGAGATGCTGCAAGGGCTGGAGCGCCTCTGCTCTGGAGCTGTGGCTGCCCCTGGATCCCTGGCAGTGCCCAAGGCCAGGCTGGACAGGGCTGGGAGCAGCCTGGGACAGGGACAGGTGTCCCTGCCATGGCAGGGGTGGCACTGGATGTTCCTGTAGGAATCTCTGTGGTCTTCAGACCACCCATCCCTCTGCTCTGGAGCCAGGCTGGGAGAGCTGGGGGTGCTCACCTGGAGAGGAGAAGCTCCAGGGAGAGCTCAGAGCCCTTCCAGGGCCTGAAGGGGCTCCAGGAGAGCTGGAGAGGGACTGGGGACAAGGGATGGAGGGACAGGACACAGGGAATGGCTTCCCACTGCCAGAAAGCAGGGATGGATGGGATATTGGGAATTGGGAATTGTTCCCTGGGAGGGTGGGCAGGCCCTGGCACAGGTGCCCAGAGCAGCTGTGTCTGCCCCTGGATCCCTGGCAGTGCCCAAGGCCAGGCTGGATGGGGCTGGGAGCAGCCTGGGACAGTGAGAGTTGTTCCTGCCCATGGCAGGGAGGTGATCTCCCCTTCCATGGAGTCTGGTCCCCAGGTCCTGCCCTGGACAATCCCATCAGGGAGATCCTTTTGCCCAAGCAGAGCAGAGCTCACGCACGTCGTGTTTTCCCTGAGGTGATCCTGGTGGCGTGGCAGGGTCTGCCTGACGTCTCTGGCTCTGCTACAAACGTGGAGTTAATCTCCTCTTGGCAAGGAAGCCTGAGAATTTACGGCCGTGGAGTGTGAGGAGATGAAAAGGCACCGTGGAAGGCATTATCTGAAGTGCTCTATTGAATTACCATCAGATGAATCCAAATGACTTTAATGATGCAGCTTGGCCTTGTGCCACCCAAAGGGATCACGTTCCCCAGGGAGGCCTCGGCGTCCTGCTCCCTGGCTGGGCTCCCATCCCACGTCAGCCCTAGGATGAGGAGCATCATTCTCCAGTGACCTCCATTCCCTGCCTGAACCACAGCCGCTGCAGCTCCTGGCCCAAACAGCCTCTGGGATCCATCACCTCCAGCTTTTGGGGCCACATGTTGTCCCTGCAGGTTCTCTGTGCCGTGAGAGCCCTCCGGGATGGGTCACATTCCCACAAACCTTGGGAATTTCGGTTTTCCCACCCAAAGCAGCCCCAGCCATGGCCTCTTACCTGCTCTGCTTCGGAGTAGGGGTTGTTCAGGACCCCGGGGACGTTGCTCTTCCCCCACAGGTCCCCCAGGACACGATCGTTCTCCATCCGAGCCGGCAAAGCTTTCTGGGGATCGTTGTCCCCTTCCCTGAAACTGAAGCGTTAAAAACCTCTTGGGCCGCTGGCACCACGGGCACAGCTCCTGCTCCAGCTGCTTCCCACAGGAGCCAAAACCTGGCCGGGGGCCCGTGGGAAGGGAGGAAAGGCAGAGCCTGGGCCAGGGCGGTGAATCACCGAGGTGAGAACAGCTCGAGCACCGTGGGAGCTCCACCTCAGCGCCGCAGGAATGCCCCGTCCCACAGCAGAGCCTCTGCACCCCAACAGCCCAGCGGGAACCCCGGGAAAACAAGCATGGAGGGGGGAAAGGAGGCTGCAGAAGCTCCTGGCAGGAGGAGTTGGCAGAGCAGCTCGGTGGTGGTGGGCAGGGAAGAGGAAAAATAAGGCAGAGCAAGCAGGAGGCTCCCAGGAGTCTCCCTGCTCTCCCTGACCTTCCCAGCCACGGGCAGTGGAAGAGATTCCAGCCCCGCAGACCGAGGGACCGGCCCTGGAGCTGCTGGGCACGGGGGATGGCCGGGCACGGGGACAGCCCCGCGCTGGCGGCCACCAGGGTGGCACCGGAGCAACGCGGGGTGGCACGGGGGTGGCTCAGGGGTGGCTCAGGGGTAACTCAGGGGTGGCTCAGGTGTAACTCAGGAGTAGCTCAGGGGTAACTCAGGGGTAGCTCAGGGGTAACTCAGGGGTAACTCAGGGGTGGCTCAGGTGTAACTCAGGGGTAACTCAGGGGTGGCTCAGGTGTAACTCAAGTGTAGCTCAGGGGTAGCTCAGGGGTAACTCAAGTGTAGCTCAGGGGTAACAGGTGCAGCTGAGGTGTAGCTCATGGGTAGCTCAGGTGTAACTCAGGGGTAGCTCAGGTGTAACTCAGGTGTAACTCAGGTGTAGCTCAGGTGTAACTCAGGGGTAACTCAAGTGTAACTCAGGGGTAGCTCAGGTGTAACTCAGGTGTAGCTCAAGTGTAACTCAGGTGTAGCTCGGGTGTAGCTCAAGTGTAACTCAGGTGTAACTCAGGTGTAACTCAGGGGTAACTCAGGGGTAGCTCAGGGGTAGCTCAGGTGTAACTCAGGTGTAGCTCGGGTGTAGCTCAAGTGTAACTCAGGTGTAACTCAGGTGTAACTCAGGGGTAGCTCAGGGGTAGCTCAGGGGTAACTCAGGTGTAACTCAGGTGTAACTCAGGGGTAACTCAAGTGTAGCTCAGGTGTAACTCAGGTGTAACTCAGGGGTAGCTCAAGTGTAGCTCAGGTGTAACTCAGGTGTAGCTCGGGTGTAACTCAGGTGTAGCTCAGGTGTAGCTCAAGTGTAACTCAGGTGTAACTCGGGTAGCTCACTGCACCACACACATTTTGGGATGTGGGAGAGGCTCTGAAATGCCACCAGAGCTGATGTAAAACCTCTGCCAGGTGAGCCCTGACTAAGGAGAGAACAGAAGGGGTTTAGAGAGGGGACATTCAGGCAGGCCGGGGTGGCACCTGTGTCACCAGCACCACCACGGCCACCAGGGAAGGGGCTCCAGGGTTGGGCTGAGCAGGGGCATGGCTCAGGATGGGCACAGGCACCAGGAAATGCCCTCTGGAATGGTTTTGCTCCTGCTGTCGGTCCTTAAAAGCCTTCCAGGTGCCACTGAATCAATAATGAGAATTCTCGTTAACGGGGGCAGGGTTTGGGCACTGACCAAAGTAGGGCACTTGCACCCAAGGCATCAATCAAAGCAACAGGATGCTCCTGATTCAATTTCAGCAAGACAAATAAATACAAATAAATTCCGTTTCACAGTCCTTGAACTCCTTTAGCTTGAGGAAAAGACTTCATTTAAAGAGCATCTCCCTGTGCTTTTCCTGTCATTTTTCTGCTTTTACAGAACCATGCTCAGCTGCCAAAATATTTCCCTGGGCTTTGGCCACCTTCCAAACATTGGAAAGGAGCCACCTTGGTGCAAGTGAGGAGGTACAGGTGCCTGGGGGCCCTTTTTTCCTGGGATTTTTGTGCCCCTCCAGGCCACGAAAGCTGTTCCCTGGTGACCTGGCTCCTGGGAGGATGTGAAAGGGCTTCAATCAGGTAAGTGAAAGGGTTTCAATCAGATAAAACACAGCTTGTAAGAAACCCCACCCTCAGCCAAAGGCAACAGATCCCAAACTCTGCTGCAGGGGGTGGGGATCCACACGGATCCCAAAATCCACAGGGATCCACAGGGATCCTGGGGACAGGGTCAGCCACGAGCCACACAACCCCTCTGTGCCATCCCAGAGGGCTCTGCCTCCCTCCCAGTGACTCCAGCAGGCAGGGAACCAGCAGGATGGACACACAGCCAGCCCGGCTGTCCCCTCGGAGCCAGGCCCAGCTGCTCAATCTCTGCAGAGCTCATTCCCAGGCCTGCACATCCCTGCCCTCCTGCCCTGATCCATCCTGCCAGGAGATGTGTTAGAAATGGATTTGTGGACAATTCTCCAAGCCTGACAGGAGGCCCACACTGTGTGCAAATCTTGAGATAAGAAATGCTGACTTAGAAATGCCATGGAATAGGACAGATATTGTTGGGAGAGAAATGGAGCTAGAAACAAGCTTCAAAGCTGGCCTTGCAAACAAGACTGGATACTTTGGAGAAATGGAACTGTGAAAATACATTGTATTAAGACTTATGATGATTGGCATTAAGGCATCTACAGATGGTGTGGCTAAAGCTGATAGGCCCAGAAACACTTACAGTGTTTTGTAATTAGGAAATAATCAGCTTCTGATTGTGATGGTGTGAATTATAACATCTGTATTGCCTCACCCTTCTCATGAGACTGAAAACGGAATGAAAGACTTTAAAACACCTCTCGGTTGCCCCATTTCTGGTCAGGAAAGGGCCTAATCCAACGGGGACACCAAGCCAGGTCAGCACAGGGGCACCGAGCTCCTGAAGTCACCTCCACCAGCAGACAAGCCCCAGCTGCTCCTCACATCGGGCCCAAAATCCAGGCAGAAGCACTGAATCCATAAGGAAGGGATCCCTTGGATCTCCGAACTTGGGACTTCACAGAAGGAACCCGCTGGAAAACCACGGGGCCTCTCCAGGAGAAGTTTGGGATCAGCCAGAGATGCCACAGGCACCACCAAAAGGTACCTGAGAAGGGTCTGCAGGGCCCGTGCCAGCAGGAGAGGAGCCTGGAGAGGGATCCACCCA